TGTTATCGGTGTCTAGAAAAACTAGGAGAGATCCAAACAACAAGGAGCATTTTGTTCCTACTTTTTCGTTAAAAATTAGCTTTGAAGGAAATGTTATACCGGAGTCGGTCAGAATTTTCTGTGTCGGGTTTAGGGTGAATCATTTCTTTCCCAGGGCCAAACAATGTTTTAGGTCTGGGCGTCTCGGCCATACGAAACTTTCTTGCAGGTCAAAAACCGGTGCATAGTCTGTGGCAAGGAGGAATCTTGTCAGGAAAAATGCAATAGTACTAACCCTAAGTGCATTTTATACGGTAGTAATGACCATTTATCGTTCAATAAAAATAGGTGTCCCAGCTGGGAGAAAGAAAGACAGGTCATTGAGATTATGACGGTGAAGAAGTGGTCAAAGCGTGAAGGTTTTGATAGCTACAGAAATTTGCTCGAAGGGAATAGTTTCTCCGTACTGGCCGATTATGATGAAATGTTCCCAGCTAGGGTAGGACAGGCCGAAGTGAGGCAGAATAACGAAGGTTTAGTAAATAGGAGTCTAACCAGGAGAAGATACAACGTGGTTGCCAGAGCAGCAGTCAACAAGAGCAGTGAGGTCGGCAAGAAGGTTCAGCAGGCCAGGGTTATAGAAAAGTCTGTGCCAGTGTATGAAAGTCCCAAGTGGGAGAGAGTGAGTGAAATTGAAAAACTTCTCAGTGAGTTGTCGGTGAAATTCAATATCGATGCTGAGGAGCCGATTTTGAAGGTGTTGGGGAATCTAATTAAAACTAACGTAGATGATAGACTTGTTGTAAACAGAAACAAAGATGACAATAAAAATTCTTCAATTTAATTGTCAGAGTCTGAAAGCCAATAGAGATTATATAGATTTTTTCATTCAGCATAATGAGATCGACATAGTGGTTCTACAAGAGATTTTCTCGTGGGGTGATATATTTGAGGGCCATAAACTTATAAATTTTAATTTGTTATCAAAGTTCAGGGCAGATGGCTACGGGGGTGTAGCTATTGGAAGTAGGAAAAACTTACGCTTACAAAAAATCAGATACAATTCCAACTATGACATTGTTGTGGCTAAAGCCACAAGCTTGCTTCAAAATTTTATTATAGTTTCTGCTTATTTTCCACCGAATTTAAACAAACATCTCTTTGACTATGAAATTAGTCGTTTATTGCTGTTTTTGGAGGGACGCGAAAACATCCTACTGTTGGGGGATTTCAATGCTAAGACCAGAAGATGGGGTAGCCCAAAGGACCTTCCTAAAGGTAAAATTCTGCTCGATGCGATTCGGAAGGCAAATTTCAAATGTTTAAACGATGGTAGTCCTACTTTCGCTACTAGCAAAAACTGTCCAGGCGGCCTTTCAGTCTTAGATCTTTCTTTTACTAACTCGAACTGTCAGCTTATGTGGAAGGTGGTCCCTGTTTTTGTCGGGGGCAGCCATCACTGGCCTATTATTATAGATTTTCCAAACGTTGCGAGCAAACCGGTTCCGTTCGTTCAAAAGCGAAAACTTAACTCGGCGCTGACTAGAATTCACTGTAATGAGGGGGTTGATGGTATCTGCGAGGCCATAAATAAGGAGATTAAAGGAGCCACGATTGATTTAAACTCTGTTAAGGGTTCCCTCAAAGCGTGGTTCAACGAGTCATTAAAAAACAATTTCGCCTGCTTTCGGCGTGCAGGAAGAAAGCGAGGCTGACGAACAATGTTAGAGACTTTGAGGAATTACTTAATATGGAAGAGGAGTGGAAAGCGGCTGTAAAAAAAGCAAAAGCGGACTGCTATCGGGCGAAAATTAGTGAGTTAAATGAATACCCGAACACTACAGATGCATGGAGGTTCGTAAATAGTGTTAAGGGGACTCGTAAAAGTGTTCCATGTTGGCCCAGTGATGAGCAGGCTCAGTGCGGACCGTTGAAGTGGGTCGGGACTGTCAGGTCAGCGACAATGGGTGTATGGACAAGTCGGGGTTAGAGTTTTCGGTGGAGGTGTTTGACAGCGTTTTGAGGAAAAAGAAGAAATCGGCGGGGGGCTTGTATGGCGTAACATTTGGTATGCTGAAAGGGCTGCCGGTAGACACGAAGGAGGCTTTAGTTCGCGATTTTAAGAGGCATTTTCTGGAGAATAGAGTTAGAGAGGAGTAGAGGAAGATCAAGATCGTGCCTATTGCTAAGCATGGGAAGGATCTTAATGATATTCAGAATTTCAGACCTATATCGCTTCTTTCAGTGTTTGTGAAGAGTATCAACATGATTATAAAAGAAGAGCTAATGGAATGGGCGGAAAAAAATAACGTTTTTCCGGATGGCTGTTTTGCATACAGAAAAGGGAAATCGGCGACAATGTGCCTTAATGAGTTCATTTACTGGTCCAGCAAATTTAAGAAGTGTAGGAAAAAAGTTTTTCGACGCGTACAATTGTGTCAGCATCGACAAGTTAGATTACAGGTTAAAGGTTTTAGGAGTCGATAGCAGAATTCGTAATTGGGTTATAAACTTTTTTTCCAGAAGAACTCTTGTGTTAGGAAAGCATTCAGTTGAGGTTTCAGTTTGAGGGCTCCACAGGTCCAATGATAGCTCGTTGAGGTTTCAGTTTGCGGATGATTTTGCGTTCATCTGTTGTGGTAATACTGAGCAGGAGGGTATAAGTGCCCTTGAGGGCAAACTGATGGCTTTCAGTAATAGGTGCAAAAGTCTAAATCTTGGCATAAATGTGGAAAAAACCAAATTCATGTGTGTAAATAGCAATAGGTTTAGCTCCTTTTCTTTATGCTTGGATGGTAAAGAAGTTGAGCAGGTTCGCTCGCTAAAGTGGTTGGGGAGGGTAATTACTGCGAGTACATCGGTAAATAATCAGGTTAGCAGACTAAAAAGGATTGCGGTACCGGGTAAGAATCTTATCAAATGTTTAACACCTATAAAAAGCGGTTTGGTGCCCAAAGTAGCTTTAAATTTTTATAAGTCCTTAGTGAGAAGCAAGGTGGAATACGCTAACTCCACTTATGCGGATGCACCTATTGGGTACAACAAAAAGATACAAGTCATTTTAAATGATACTCTTAGGCGGTGCTTGGGGCTTCCTCCAAGTGCTCCGGTGCATGTGAGGTATGCTTTGGCAGGCGAGCTCCCCCCTCTGAAAAGAGCGGAATGGTTGGCTGCCAAGGAGCTCAGCAGACAGTGGCTTGTAAATCCTCGCCTCAGGGATGACCTGATGAGTGGGAGTGTCTCTAAATCCAGTTATTGTTTTGCTTACGAAAAGCACAAAGCCGTTTTCAATCTTCTTGGTACTGATGTTTCTTTTTGTAGGCATCGTAACCTCCACGTGGAGCTTTCGGAGCTGGGTACTACCAAAAATAATGTTAGTACGGTACAGTTGAAAAGTATTTTTGTCTCTAGACTAAGGGAACTGCAGAATAGTGGTTTTTACCTCCTTGCCACGGATGCGTCGGTTTCTGATGGAAGGGTGGGTTTCGCAGTCCATGATCCTCAAAAAAATTTGTCATTCTTATATAGAGTAGTGGGTGATTTTTCCTCCACCTTCGGGGAGCTTCTAGCAATCAGGCAGGCGGTTCGGATGATGGTCAAGTTGGAGTGTAAGAAAATTGCCATTCTTTCAGATAGCATGGCGGCGTTGAGATTAATTAACAAGAAACGAACGACTAATCACATTGTTGCGGAGATTCAAAATTTGATGCACAACTCAAAGTTTGAAAGCATAAAGCTCAGTTGGGTTCCTAGTCATGTGGGGTTAGTGTACAATGAGAAAGCGGATTTAGCGGCAAAGGCTGCAGTGAGAAATGGACAGGACATGCATATAAAGTTTACGGTTGAGGAGGGGCTTAGAAGAATTCGGCAAGCCATTTGGCGTGAGTGGGAGAGTGAGTTTTCGGATATTTGTCAATCCAAAGGTAAAGTTTTTGCTGAAAATGGAGGCAAGGTAACTGACTCCCCTTGGTTCTGCGATAAAAAATGCATTTTTCCGTTCAGGAAATAAAACCAATAAATAGACTCATGTGTGGACACACATATGGAAAGATTTTTTTAAGTAAGTTTAAAGCTAACATCACTGATGCTTGTTTATGCTGTGGGGTTAGAGAGACAAATGACCATCTAATTTTTGTATGCCAAAAATTTTCCGCCGCCAGAAACAATTTCACTATTTTTAGTAAATACAACTGCTTAGAAGAAATTTTCGCCAGTTTTGATTATCGCCATCTCAGGGAGTTGCTTTGCTTTTTGGAGACGGTGAAGCTCGACACGCTTCTTTGAGTATAAAAAGATATAGATATAGGAAAAAAATAAAATTAAAAGTGTATGTATGTATAAAACAGACATATGTTTGTTTATTGTTAAGTAATAGTCGTTTTAGGGAAAATGAAGAAAAACAACTACAACCAGTCAATTATTAATAAAAAAAAGAGAAATTTGAATGAAAGCAAGGAAAACAAAAAAAAGTATGAAACAAATATGTATGCATGTTTGTTTCGAATGCTTTAGAATGTAGTCATATGATTAAATTTTTTCTATTCAATCAGATATGGAATTGGGCATGTACGATTGTGCATTTAAAAAATAATAATAATAATAAAAATAATTATATTAGTAATAAAATAAAAAGAAGAGAAAGAAGAAGATGATGGATGAGTGTCATTAAGAGATATGTATGACTGGTTTGGAGTCTGGATGTATCTACCTCATTGTAGTTAAATTTTCCATATGTACATGTATTACGATTCTTTTGTGTTAATTGTAAAGATGCCTAATTTAGTGTTTTTTCTGCAATCAAGTTCCTTTGATTCTGCTGGTACAACCGCATTTTATTAATTATAAGATAGTCGATTCACTTTATTACTTGGCTTAAAGAATGAATTACTTCTGTAGTTTTTGGTGATTTTGTACTCAATAATTTTTTAATTTCCTCATGTATATGAATATGAATTCATCTTATAACCTGTACTTACATGAATACCTGATAGGGTACAAACCTTTTATTCTTGTATAAAAGGCAAACAAACAAAAAAAGGCTGATAGAGAATATTGTATTTATTGTATTATAATGTACGTAGTACGATAGGTTAAATTGGTGATCAATCACTTTTGAATTTGTGCAGTTTGAATTTTTTGCTTGGTTTAGTCTCAAAGGCTATTTTAGTTTGTAGTTTACTATCTTGTATTAGAAATTAATTTTGTGAGTCACCCTGCATGCTTGTTCGACGTGGGATTGAATCATCACTGGAACCGGCTCGTCGGGTCACCGCTCACTAAAAGCTTCGCATACAATTAAAATCTTCTTGGACAACCTGTCTCTTGAGGACATCATAACAGTCCTTGCCAATTTTCTATACGCGTTGTTGCGTTTCTAAACAAAAAAAAATAAAAATATCCCATTTGTATACATAACCAAAGAAAGAGTTTGTTGACGAATTTCCTGAATTAAAATTCTTTGCGAACCTCCTTACAATGGATCAATTATATATAGTGTAAGCATTTCTACATAGGTAAATGTAAATAGTACCTAAGCGAGTATGTTTATTGTTAGCATTAAGTCATGTTAGCTGTAAGCAACAATGTAAACAGCTCTTAAACGTATATGTAACTAGTATGTAAGAGAGGGCCAGAGTCTATCTAGGTCATAAGGATTGCACGTAATAGATACACTCTGTCTACACACTAAGGAGTATGTTCAGTAAAAGATGTCATATGTATACTTTAGCGTGGGGGATTAACTCCATTTTGCAAAAATAAAAGAAGACATTAGATTTTGTGCGCAGTTACGAAAAGGACGTGTTTTAATTCGATACCACTAAGACCTGATATATTACATCAGAAGTGGTCCGCGAAACCATTCCTATTAAAAGTACAGTCAATTTTAAATAAAATAATGGAAAGTGAGAACATAAGTGCTGATCGATATTCGCTGTTGCAGCTGAAGGCCTGGTGCACGGCCGTTGGGCTAAACGCGAGTGGCGCAAAGGCCACTTTAGCTGCAAGACTCAGCGCCCTATCAGCGGAGGCACGTGGACTGTGCCCTGGAGAAAATGTAGCTGAAAATTCAAAAAGGCAAGGTTCAGCAGCAGCAGATAATTTTGAAAAGAGTGGCGAGGACAGTAGTGCAAACGATGGTGAAAACAACGATGGCGTGAACAACGACATAAACAACGGTGCGAACAACGGTGTGAACAACGGTGCGAACAACGGCATGGACAACGGTGCGAACAACGGCACGAACAACGGCATGGATAACGGTGCGAACAACGGCACGAACAACGGGGCGGACAACGGAAGAATTATAAGAAGCGACCACGACAACGATGGAGTGTTCGTTCGAAGCGACGTAGCTTGCGTACGTAGCGGCACCTTTGGGCGGCGTCCAGCAAGGCACTCCGAAGATAGCGATAGCGTGAGTAGTGTAACAGCAATCCATTTACCCGTTATCCGCAACAACGACAATGCCGAGGCAGCAGCCCTTAAAGTGGAGTTATTGCAAAAAGAGATTGAGGTCCTTAAACTTCAAAAGGCTCTGCTTGAAAACAAACAAATGGCGGGAACACACGAAGTAAGCGACAAAGTTGCGTTCGAAACAATAAAGGAAATAATACCAATGTACGATGGCGGCGATGGATTTACCACATGGTATAATCAAGTGATGCACTATCGCGGCATATTCAAAGTCGACGATGCGATGATGTGTGTGGCCATACACCACACCTAAAGTTGAAGGGTGCAGCTCTTACGTGGTACAATGCTAAGCCAACGTTCGCCAACAATGTAGACCAATTAATGAACGAAATGAAGACGGTGTTCACGTCCGGCGAAAGAAAGCTCGGACGCCGTTGTAGGTTTGAAAACCGTGTGTGGGTGCCGGACGAAAGTTTTTCAAACTACTACAATGACAAGTTCGCCCTACGAGCAGATTTAAACCTTAGTGACGAAGAATTCGCGGATTACCTTGTCGAAGGAATCCCTGACAAGCAACTCCGCAACCAAGCAAGATTGCACAATTTTACGTCACCAAACGATGTCATGAGAGCATTCCGCTCAATTACATTGCCGGAACGACCAGCAGCAAAGCAACGCGCCGATGAACGTCTCAGGTGCTATAACTGTAACTGTTCAGGCCACTACGCCAAAGATTGCAGGAAGGCGAAACGAGAAGCAGGGTCGTGCTAAGCTTGCGGACAGCAAGGACACTTCGCAACAAACTGTAACCAGTATAA